CAAAAAATGTTTGAAAAAAAAAAAAAAAAGTTTCACCGGGGATCGAACCCGGTCCTACCGCGTGTGAACCGGACGTCTTTCCCACTGAGCTACTAGGGTATCCCTTCTCCGGTGGATCTCTTTCCTTAGTAATAATTCAGCGGGTAAACTAGGTTGGAAAGTTTGCTGCCGATTTTTCTCTAGCAAAAGCACTCCTGGGTTGAAGTCAGGAAGCACCACGCCTTGGGGACATTCGCACCTAGTAAAGAAATCGTACGCGTGCATATTCAACTCGGAGTAGACCCGTCGTGCTTGACGTTTGCGCGAGCGATGTCTTCAGCCACGAGAAGGGAGCGACGGCTGGGCGACGTCTTCGTGCAAATCGGCTTGGTGGCCGGGCGTGTCGTACGGGATGAATACCAATTCTTTTGATCAGTCCCAAATTTCTTTTTTAACGGTAGACAGAATTCGCCGGTACCGCGAACGACAGTTCTGAAATAGAGGTCCCACGCCCGTCGTCCGCTACCATCGCCGTCCCCGCGAGTCCCACGATGCGCGAAACGACAAACGCACAGAATGCTTCCGGTTGTCTGTGGAACTTTTTTTTTCAATCAACGTATTTACAGCTTTTTAGAAGCCACAAAAAATGGGTTTCATATTTTTTCTATTTTTAATACTGGGTGTGTGCCTTCAGTGACCAACGACTTTGATTAAATTTGGTGGTCGCATCGATACCTTAGAAAACGGCCCGTGACCGCCAAAAAGAGAGTGAGCGAGACTCGAACCGGCCAGTTCTTGATCGGCGGTTTTCGGGCGGAAAGAAACCGAATTTCGAGCCGCAAATTCTGTTCTGGGTAGTTGAGCTCTCATATGTCACGTACAACTAAAAACCTCGTCGAGCATAAATACCCTGTCAGTGTCCCTTTAAAGCCGATTCAATATACATGAATTGGATCTTTGGATCAAATGGAAATTTCAACAAAAAGCCAATTGGAACTAAATTCAGAAAAAAAACAGGGCCACACCGAGAAACAGCCTAGGAAGGACTGCCAGTATGAAAGGACCCCGCAAAGCCGGACGCGAGCCAAACCCCGCAAAGGGGCACAAATGGCGACACCAGTGGGCCGACGATGGGCGAAGGGCAACAAGTGAGCCAAACCACCACCGCCGTAGTGATATTTTCGTTTCCCCTCCTCCCAAGGAGGAACCCAAATGAAGGGCGCCTGCCCTACAGTAAAGGGGGGGGGGGGGGGGGAGGGGGGGTGAATGGTCGGTGACACTTTGAAAGTCTATTAGATGCTCCGCCTCCAGTGCAAGCTATAACACTTCGTCGCATGAGCTGCCGAAGTCAGGGCAAGGCCTAATGAACACGCTAAAGAAATATATTCTACTGAATTATTTGCCTGTCACCAACTTTCTATAGCAACGCATGCTATATTTTCACGTCGCCCACCGCTGGCAAGCCAGGGTCATACATTAGGCACGAGTAATAAATCTTCGGCTGGAACTCGTCTTCAGTGAGAACACGAGTCCCAATCAAACACAGACGCAGCATTTATTGTCCAGTCTGTCCGCTGCTCTAGTTACGCGGTTTTGTTGACGTGAACTATCCAGCAAAGGGGCCTTGTGATCCAGGCGGTATTAGCTGTTCCAACACAGCATACATGCACAATGCTCAATGTAACAAAATGGACCAGGGGAGCGCGTGACCTCGCGTACCTGCTGCGACATCGGCCAGGAGGAGCCATGCAATCTGGTGTCGCAAGTTTCACATGCGTGAAGCTGAGCCACGCCGTCAGCGGTTGTTCGTGGTCGGGGCGCAACCCCCAATGGGCGACTACTAAGACCATGAATATCAAGCTGAATTGCTTTTTTTGATCATCACGTCCCTATTGGAAAAAAGAAACCAGCACAAGCCGGTCACAGCATCAGAGCATCATGCTGGGTTATTGCTCCAGCATGCGCAGCTTGCCGTTCTGGTCGAGCTGGTTGAATGCTGGGTCGTGCTGTGTGAATGCTGGGCAAATACTGGGTCATGCTGGGTGAACTGCCCATGCTGGTTAGGCTGGTGTACTTCCCCACCATTTTAACCAGTTTAAATGAATACACAAAATAAACAAGCCAAACTTTTCAGAAAAGCCAGAGCGGCATTTATTTTATTATTTTCGTATTCGCGGTCTGCTCACATGAGCTCAGATGCTGCACATCCGCTGCGCTGACACAGTACTAACCGGCGCACAGATAGTGGTTCTCGGTGCAAAACAATCAATGCTATTAAAACTGGATTGCTTATCTCTCAACACGAAAAATGCTAGACACGCCAAAAACAGGCAAGAACAATAAAAAATACTACACGGATGAGAGAAGCGAAGCTGGGTCCCCCCGTAATGGGGACGAAGCGTCATCTTGCGTAGTCGGCAGAGGCGAGGAAATCCGTGTAACTTCGATGGCATTGGTGATACTCCTCGGCACCACCATCATTCACGAGCACACAGATGTTTCGAAGACACGAATCGAAGCATCTGTCGGGGCATTCGACTTCTTCCCGCGCTGAACGGACTGCCGCTCGCTGTCTCCTTAAATCCCGCTTAGCTTGCACCGCCGTTCAAGTAGTCGCCAAACAACGCGCACACAGCCGCCCTTTTTCGAAAATCTGCCGAAGATAGCCAAACGTGTCTCAAGTTCTCCGTTCCTACCACTCACTCTCTCACTTTTCTTGCACACAAAGGAAGCTCGCAGCGTGCCTGAAGCGCCCGGTCGTCGACCAAAAACGACAGGACAAAGAACAGGACGCAGCGTCGTCCCCACCCCAGCCGACCTTGGCGCGCGCGCTCCCGGCAATGCCAGTTCGAAAAGCTCTCGCCGACCTTAGCGTGCGCGCTCCCAGCAAGACCAGCTTGAACCGGCTTGGGCCAGATTCAGAACCAGCTAGAAGCAGCATGAAAAGCTTGAACCACCTCAAGTACAAGCTTCCCCATCTGCAGTGCCAGCTCGAACCAGCTTGAACCAGCTTGAACCAGCTGAAAAACCAGCTAATCCAGCTTGTCCAACTTGATATCCTTGCTGGTTTTTTCAATAGGGTGTGACACGCAATATTTATCTCACCTTTGACATGTGAAGTTATATTTCCCCAAATATATATTTAAAAAAAAAAAAAACTGAAAGGTAACGTTTTATTTACTCAGACTAAACAAAAAAAAAACAAAAAAAAAAGGTGCCATTTGTTAAGTATAAACAGTTATATCACGGCGAGTGCTGGTCATATTTTTTTGGAACTGCAACCTCTGGAAAAAAATAATATTTTTACGCTAATAAAAGAAAAGAAACGTTGCCGTGCTGCAAATTTATGGCCAGTTTTGATCAGCTGCCAGGGGCCGTGCAACGAGCACAGAACGCCGCTGAGTGCTTGGTTCAGTTGTGCGCATGTGCAATTCGCGACACAGATAGACCGTCTCTCCTGGCAGATGGGGAGACAGGTGCGCGAAGCCACGCACTCCGCTGGTCCATTTCGTTTCGTTGAGCACTGCACGCTACCCAACACTTCCGGTTCCGGAGTTCTTTGAAGCTTTTTACCTATGCCTACCAGTAATGTGTACCAAAAGCATTGTGGCTTCTCGGAGCGTGTTGTTGTATACATGAGAGAGTGGTATGCTATATAAAAAGATGGTCAGAATATAACACCTGAGACTGCTGTGGGACAAAAATGAGGAAACTTTGAAGTATAAAAAAGAAAAGGCAACGAAGGAGGACATTTTATTTGTTGTCTTTCCTTCAACTAGAAAGTTCCTGAAGTTTTTTTGTTTTTTTTTCGTACCGTAGTCTGGGGTGATGCATTATAATTAATGAGCACAAACTATCTGTCACATTTGATTTTCAATAAACATATACACGGTATATTATTCTGGTTCAAGAACGGTTTAGTAAGCAGTGCGAATATATACCTTTATTTGCAGTAAATGATATTTCTTGAACTTTAGTCGCGTCATTGCACGGAATACACGCGTTTTCTTATTCACGTCGCTGTAGCGAGCGGGAACCTGCAAGGCACACTCTACAAAAGAGAAAAAAATCCTTGACAGAAGTACTTTTTTTACTGAAACTCCTAAAACAAACTGTTTTGTTTTAAAAACAATACAGTCACACTGACTTTGCCAGGAGAAGATTAGTGAATGTTGGGGTAAAATGAGACGCGGGGCAAAATGCGACAGTTTGTGTTTAGCGTCATCCATCTCCCAGTTCATCAAGTTCATTTTGGTGAACTTTCAAACTTCACCCAGATGTGCCGTGGCCTATTCACTTAGTTTGTGTAAAAATTGAAAGCTGTCACCAAAAAGAGTTACTGGAGAAAATAACGAGGAACGGAGGTAGACTGGTTTACCCTCCGCCAGAAAAGCGCAAAATTCAGCGCGAGGCTTCGTTTCGAGACATGCACCCCAATTTGCACTGACTATTTTGCCAAGATAATCTTCACTTTTATTCTTATTTTTTTATCAGCTCTGTCCAGGCCAAATGTGAGCGATCTGTGGCTGTTTTTTTATAACAAAATAATTGTTTAACTAAAGAAATACGCGGGGGGCAAAAAGTGACACTCTGGCATTCTATGACACCATGTCATAAACCACGAGTCTCCTGAATGCTCCTGAGCCATATTTTTGACTCCTTTCGTCTAGGATAGACCAAACGTATAAAAGCAAAACAACAAGGGTTTCATGGCGCTATGGTAACACGAACAAAGCTATTGGAAGTGTCAAGCATCAGCGTCATTTCCCTCGCACTGTTGACACTCTTTTTGCCTTAATTAAAGTATGCACTTTAAAGGCGTTGGGACCCGTGGGGCAAAACAAGACATTGTGTGACATTTAGATATCAGAGTTTTGTTTAATATTTCGCTTGATACAGCTTATTATATTTAACGAGCATAGAGTCGAGACAGCTGAAAGTATCCCCGCCCTGCGATTTTTATATATTTAAGCAAAAATAAAAAGTGACCACTGAAATGAAAACAAAGTGTAATTTTTCCCCACTTTAACTACTAGGTGTGGCACTCGATATAGTTGAAGTAATAATTGACAGTTTTGGCGTTGCATGCGGTAATATATCTTGAGCAGAAAGAAGACGGCATTCCATCGCGCCCCGGACGCTTCTTTTCCCAAAGCTCGCAGTCATCTGCAAGAGAAAAATTCACGGGCCATTAAAAAACTTAAAAGATCGGAATTACTTCCTAATTAATTGTAATTGTCGAATTTGCTTCATGGTACTACAGACATAATTAAGACACAAAAAAAAAAAGAAGAAAAAAATCACAGCCAAGGCTGCCCACGAATTAAGATGCCTAAGAAATTAATAAGAATGGCGACATTGTTAACTTGTTAGTTCACTTTCGATACCTCGTTTTACCGTAACAGCTCGTTCACAAAGCTTCGTTCGGTTGCAACCGACTACAACTGCACCCACTTGCGTCGAGCTGTTCCAATGGTGACCCTTACGGCGGTCAAGTGGGGAGGCGCTGTGATGCACGGCGCAACGCACCACAACGCGCTCGCCTCAAACACGTGAAGTAGCCATAAATTCGCAAAGAGCGAACGCTACGGGCCCCTCGTGTCAATCAAAGCGAAGGAGATGACGCACAAGCCAGAGGAAAAAAAATCAAATTTACCTAATTAATATAAGATATGGGTGACTGAAATCAAATTAATTTGATTGATAAAAATATTGCCATAAATAGTGATTTGGTATTACTATACCCGTTTTCACTTCAAAAACTATAGTAAAAACAAAAGTCCGGCTCCTGGCGGAGCATCCCTAAATCCCCTCTTCATGCAGATATTTAAGACGTATGTAGGTGCATTTTAGATAATATATATGCTATCTTGTGAATCTTATGTGGCACAGTAACATTCGAATAATTAGAGTAGAAAAGGGCTTTCCTGCGACGAGTACAGAACAAGAAAAATTTCATTTTGTTTGCATCTTTTGATTGATCCGTGGAGTTACTTCTATAGTTCCGCGAATTCGTCCCACTATAGAGCTCTTCTTTTGTAGCAAAAGTGCAGTGTCGGAGCTTCCTAGTTTGATTTTTGAGATTGATCGCGGTACAGCACCGAGAGTACACTAATTAAAAAGAATGTGTGGCTTCATTTTCCTTCACAGCAGGCGGGAACGAATCACGGTAAACAGTAGAAGGATCCCAGTCAATTAAGGAGCACGAAAAAGAATTAGACGAATAACGCCGGATGTTCAGTTCAACCATGAGCATGACGTTTCACTTTCCCATACTCCCTGCGTGCTGGAGATGCTCCGTCCCCAGCACGCACCTGTTGCTCCCCGTCGTTCGTTGGTTGCACGCCCGCGCGAAAGTTTTATCAAAGGCAGAATGCTTTCGCTGGATGCGGAGCTTCTATTGCAGATCTTGTGTGAAAGCGATCGCATGTGAGATTATCTCACTGAAGAATAGTTGATTGATTGTTCCGTTTCTAGAATTCTTTATCCTTGGGAAGAGATCTGATTAGCTCTTGGTTTCACTTTGGCGCGAGCGATTTTTTTGAATGAGCAGAACCTGCTTCATGGGCTTCTTTAGGTGGATTTTTTTATGCCGTATTGAATTCCTGCTTGAACAACCCTTTATTTTAGATAACAAAGTATAAAAAAGAGTTCTCACCTGTAGTTTTATGGTAAAACAGAGCACATGTGTTCCAGTCCGACAACAAGAGATATATTGTTCCTGAATATATCGCTGAAAAAAAAAAAAGCGGAAGTTTGGAAAACAAAAAGTACAAGCAAACAAACTAAAAAGATGACCGCAGAAATAACCTACTTCTGTCTCCTTGGTGTCTGGAGGCATTCATGAAGTTGGGAGACTGATATTCTGGCGATTTTCCTGTTTTCATGTCATAGTAAGTTTTCAACCTGTAACGGTTGTAAAGCAAATGTCATGTTCGAATAAACGTCCTCCACGGAAAACCTTATGACGTCATGATATAATTGCAAAATCATTTTGAGGACTCGGATTCCTGTCGTCAAAGCGGGGCAAAAAAGACGAGGTGTTTGCCGCGGTCTAATCGACACGAAGCTTCTGACAGCGGGTGCTTTCGTGCACACACTCCTCCAAAGCACTTGAAAGGGTTTTTGATATTCATCAACGTTGTCGTCAAGCCACTCCTCGCACGCATTGGATTCCACTTTTTGTGTTGCATTCACCCATTCAAGAAGCATATATTTATTAATTTGTTTAGCAGAAAGCAGTTGGTGTTTTTCTTCATCTAACAGCGCTGCTACCATAATAACGTATCGCCCTTTCATGTACCCTTCAAGTTTTCAACCCTCGTCAGCTCACAGCGAGTCCTGTTGTTGAGAGTATGACGGCTAAATTCGTTTAATAACACGGATATCCCTTTCTACACAAAACTAAAAGCAAGCGACGTTGATCGCTTCCTCCCCCTTCTTTTTGTACGTCTTATCTCTCAGTCTTTAAGTTTTGTGCCCATTTTTTTTTGCGTCGTCAGAAGTTACCGTTTTAAATCTCCTCTGTTCGTGTGAGCACTGGCGTCGAAGGGAGTCCCGCTGGATCTGCCGAGTAGTGACGTCACACACATCCCTCCCCATAAGCTTCCTCCGTGTGAATAGGTGACCTGCGTTTGGCAGCAGTCGCAAAGCGCTCTGGGTAACATTCACATCCGGTTTGTAGCTAGCAGCCGACGCAGCACCATGACGGCTATGGCAGCGTTTGCGGGTGTTAACCCGATAAATTTGAGCCGCCTCCCTCTGCTGCCGGGTTAGTTACGAACTTCGGAGCATCTGAAGTTACTTCTGCGGATATGTGAAGAAGGAATCGGTACCCAGAAGCATCGAGAACGGCCACGAAAGCGCGGAGTGAGGGCGGCCAGCGGCGAGCGGTGCGGGCGGCGCGCCTTCCGGATTTTCGCATGAAAACTCAGGCTAGGTTAGCTATTTTGTTTTCCTTTTGATCCAGCATTTCTCATTGCCTTTTTTTTATTTTTTGATGGTTACGTTATATCATATCACTAATTGAAATAGGTGCATATGTACACCGTGGAACGCGGCTGTAGCTAAAATGTCCGATCGGAGCTTTGGCGTACTTTCCTCGCGCGATCGAAGACACCTCCGTTAAAAAGTTCCTTTCAACGAGATTGGATTACGCGGGAACCCTTGCTTTTAAATATTCGCGAGTTTCTTATACTTCAATTAGGTTGTTCAACGTGTGTCATGTCTCTGCCCCCACACATTTTGTTTTTATGATGTTGAGTGAGAAAGTTGGTTTTGACGTGGGCCACGCAGGGTCGCACGACCGCTTTATTATCCGTGAAGATATAGGTTTTCACTGCTCGCTTTTGTTTATTTATAACAAGCTGAGGATCATCTTTATGTGACTGATATCCGTTTGTTGAGTTTGAATGCGTGCTCTTAAGTTATTCCACACTGTTAAATCAACCAAGGTATAAATCTTAAGAGTCCATTCACAGGAATACATCAGAGAGCCGCTGCTGCCGACGAAACGGTCGGTGGACGAAACGTCGCGCGAACAACCGATTGCCTGCGAAGATCACAAGCAATTTGACGTCTTCGAGATCATATCCCGCGTTCTCGCGAATGCCTTTTACCGAAAGCCTCGCTCATCCCTTCGCAGGTTAATCGAGACCTTTTTCTGGGTGCCAAGAGTCTCTGTTCAAAATTGTCAATTCATACGGCCCCAACCTGAAGAAAGAGAGAACACGCTGTGCTGACCTGTGAAACAATGACCCACGCATAAACGGGCACCGACACTTGGGGGTTACAGGTTATTTTGCCCCGTCGCTCGCTTAACAGCGACGACCCATCACTGCTTCCGTTATTCGTTCCACAGAAACCGCAACATCTTGTACCCTTTATGGCTCACGTTAGAACAACGTACCGCGGAGCAGTGAACCATTTTCACCGCGAACACAGGCCCGGCCACCAAACCTAGAAGGGCTCTCGGTGCAGCTGGACGAATTCCCACACCGAACGAATCGGAAGCGTGAATTCACGTAACGCCTCGTCTCCAATGACGAAACTTCCGGCGGAAAACACCGGTAACCTATTGTAGCGACTGGACGCGTGCCACTACCCGAATGTTGTCAAGCTATACATGGCTTGCACGTGACGCCATCGCCCCATGCTGGAGCAGCACCTCTTAGGTAACAAAACCGTAATGCTGATAAAGACGTCGCAATCAGCGAAAGCCAACACCAACCACAAATTGGACACAAGGATTGCGCCAGCGTTCGGCTCAAACTTGACTGGAGGCCGAGCGCTCACGCAGCACTCGTTTTGCAATTTGTGTCCCGACTTGGCCTCCCCTGGTGACACGAAAATGTCAGCACTAAGGCGGGGTTGGCTGGAGGCCGTTTGGGGTCATTCCTAGTTGTTTTTGCCTAGAAAAAAAAATTAATATAAGGCATGTATGCTGCATACGATATACGCTCGGGAAAAAGGCAGCCAGAAGTGCCGCTGGTGTGATATAAACGCAAGCCACGTATTGATTACCACGAGGCCAAATGAAGTGCTCATGCAAAGCTGGACTCTAAACAATGAGTCGCGTTCAAATATTGTCAGTCGGGGCACTAGGCCAACGCTGCCACCGTTACTACCTTAGCTTTCTTGAAGAACAGCCAACAAACACTGCTTACACGAGCAGTGTTTGTTTCCCCACAGCTAGTGTGCAGTCGTACGACACGCCACCGTTTTTAGGCAAGCGGTGTTATGGTAATTGCAATGGAATGCCCATGTTTCGAAGCACAGCTGTCAAGACTGCGCTTCACCGTACCCTGTGGAACACACAGTTTTGAAACGAAAATCGAGACGGGGATTCAAATGAGAGGAGGCGGATAGAAGGGAGTAAAGGGGGGGGGGGGGGGGGGGGGGGGAGGCGTACCCGCCTACTTGGTTGTTACACAACTTAGGTAACGTTATGATATTGATCGCTGCCACCTCCGCGCTACATCATTAAGTTATGCGAAGCTAAGATTAAAAAAAAAAGTTCGCTTTCATCTTTGAAATTGCGCTGTGAGAAAGAATGTGGCTTGCTCAGTTGCGCTGCCCCCAGGCTGCATGGGTCGCTCTAAGGCCAGTAGGTACGCGTAGAATAATAAAGAAAATACTACACCTGTGTATTTTTGAAGAGACAAAAATATTTAAAAACCAAAAAAAGGACAAATGCAAAGCTTCTTTATGTAATTTTCGAATTAACTATCCATCTTTCGTTAACTAACCGATCAACAGCTTGCCTTTCTTGTGGGGATGGCAATATTCCAGTTTTTCTGTTACATCTTCCGTTTGTCTATTCCAAATGTCCTTGTACCTTTCAGTCTGCCCTCACAAGGCAATATGTGGGTGTTTCTCAGGTAAAAAATACCCCTCCCCCTTCTAAAACAAAAAAAAACGCAATGAAAGAGTTTTTTTGTGCTCGAAGTTAGATCGGAGATATTACATGTTCTATTTTCTTCCAGAATCAAACTAGCTTTTACAGCAAAGCTCTTCAGAGCCGTGTACAGAGAGAGTTTGGCCATTAATTGTAAAGTATAGGAGAAAAATGAGGAGGCGCCATTGGCCGAAAGCGTGCTGGGTGTGTCCCAGGGCGTCTTCACTAATTCGAATCTGACCAACCAGAAGCCGGATATAATTCCTTGGCGGTGGCCGCCAGAGGCAAACTTAATATGTGCATCTGAGAAACTCCCGGCGATTGAAAATATTGTGCACGCGAGGTTTCACTCACGGTCATCCAAAATCATAATCGAAGAGCGCGACTAGCAGAACGATCGATATAATCCGTACGCCAGGCGCCGATTGCCGTGAATCTGACCTCCGAGCGGTCACACTCCGTTCGAGCGAAGCACAGTTCGAGCGGCCACATTCGTTTCTTATATCTTTCTCTTACGCGCCTATTAAAACCACATAACAACGTATACCAATGATTAAAACTGTTTGTTGCTAATAACGCTAGGGGATACTTTTCGGCTTCTGGTTGGTCAAGCGAGCATGTCAAACCCTCCTTCTGAGTCGGGTGCACGCCCTGGCTCTGCCCGCGCCTTCCATTGACCGAACCCTTTCTCTACGCGGCTTTAAGCTGTTTATGGAAAGTGTTCTGTGGATGTTTTGTGTGCGCAACCAAAACCCTTACGCTGGTACCGCCGCACGCTCCGCACGCGCACGCCTTCACCGTATATAAGATTGAAGGCAAATCGTCAAAATAAAGCTTTGAAGAACGCGTCTGCAAGATTCCCTTTGTTTTAGGTTTTTGCTTTAGAACAATTACTGCTGCAGAAGCCGGCACGTGCGGCGCGTGGAACACCAATCCCATCATTCTCCTTGATGCATAGGTAATTTAGCAATTTTTTCTATTCAGCAGAGTAGTTATCAATAGGCACCATTTTCAAAGTCAGTAGACTTTTAGGTAGATAATAAAGGTTTCTCAAAGATTTGTGTCTGTGCGACCGGCGTCGGCCTTGTTTACGCTCGTACCGCCCTCTCTTCGTCGTCGTTCCAAGCGCTGGAGTGCCTATAGTCGGCGACAGGTCAAGAATGAAGTCGAAGCTCCTCCCACCTCTTTCCACTTTAGTAGATCGAACGCTAGAGAGAAGGCGACCTCCTCTCCACCGTTCGCTCCGCTGAAGTGTAAAGGGATTGGAGGAGATTCTACCTTGACTCTACCCGGGGCGATATTGGCCTCGGGTAGGGAAAGTCGTGCGAGTATTGTCGATTTTTCCGTCGTATCGGGAAAATTGTACCGATACCATTTGATAGTGCCGATGTCGACGGAATATCTGTTATATTGCGGCGACGCAACCATGGATATATATGGTACACGAACCGTACAGTTTCCTTTTCTTCCGCTCTCCCGGGGTGGGGGGCCCGTCGCGCGTGTATAGTTT